TAACTTTGTTCATAGACAAGATACAGTATTCCAAATAATACCGTTTTGTAGTACTCGTGGAGCTCTATCATACCTGATTGGTTCGAAAACATTGATTCTGAAAGAAGTTATGGCAGGGCCCGCGAAGGCCCGGCAAAGGCCCGGATTATAAGTATGGTTTTTATAATAATTCAAATATTTCTCGAAAAGAAAAAATTACAAAAAAGATTGCAATTTTTATTAAAAATTCATTTGAAGCTAGACATTTTAGGAAGTTGTAGAACCAAACAATTTGTATTAATAGTCAATTTTTAGGCAAAAAATAAGACACACTAAAAAAATTTCCGTAAAACCTGTATTAAAAGGGCTCCATACTGTCAACTTTGAGCTCAATTATCTCGGTTACTGTAAGAGATATCAAAAATCTGTCAACTGATAAAATATTGGTGATATTATGATGAACATTTTATCAATTGACACATCTTTGATATCTTTTACAGGAAATGAGATAATTGAGTTTAAAGTTGATAGCGTATATAAAAATACCGAAACATTCAATTCACAGTGGAAAAGCACAATGTACAGTCATTGTAATATTAGCATTCGCGCATGTTCCATTCCTCCATACCGTCCATTTTCCATCCGATGTCTTTCTAGTGTTATAGGTGAAAAATCTGGAAATTTTAATTTAAATTTTTTTTCAATATCAATTTTTAGTAAATCCTCTAATTTCAACATTTTTAGATCATTATTCATATTTTGTTCGCAAATTTGCATTTTCAAAATTTTTAAAAATTTTTAAATTCAAAATTTTTTTCAATTGTTTTTTGAATTCCCACCTATTACAGTATCTATAGACCGTGGGCTTCTTCGATATCACACTATCCCTTTCAGCACCATCACACTCTATATCACATTCCACAAAAACATTTTCAGCCGAATTTCCAGAAAAACTACAATTCGCTGGACTTAGACCAGTCTGGTCCGCATTTTTCGATAATTTGCAGCCTTTTGAGAGACATTGGAGAGTTCGAGGTTCTAAAAAATTCGAAATTTTTGGAAAAAAAATAATTTTCACTGTTAAAATTTAAAAAAAAATTACCCCATAAATACAAAAAATCGGCTGGAAAAATGAATGAAATAAGAAAAAGGGAGAGGAATACAAGAATTTGCATATTCGGGAAAAATGAAGATTAGCAATGTTGACGAATTCTAGAAGATTCCATTTTCAGATTAGCAAAATGCAAAAAATCCGGTTTCTCTCCTCCTCCTCTCGCCCTCTCGCTCTCTGCGTCTCTCCCCACAGTTCATATACGCCCTCCACCCCTCTTTCCCAATTCGTACGCGTAGCCGAGTGGTTAGTGGCGCCGCCCACCAAACCACTGGTGGGAAGGATTGCTGGTTCGACTCCCCTTGGTGGCAGAGTCCCTTCCTCTTATTTATAAGCGGCTTCCTCTTTTCTTTCACAAATTGTCCGCTTGGTGTTGTGGTTAGTGGCTTTGCCTACCGATCCACCGGGAACAGGGGTTGTTGGTTCGACTCCCGCTAGCGATGATCGATTCTTTGTACAGTGTCCGAGGCTTTCTGGCCCGACGTGGCCTGAATAAGGCTGTAACCCAACGTTTCGGGCCGTTAGGCAGAAGATGGATGAATTAGTGCAATGTCTGAGCTTTATTTTAGATCTTTAGAAAAGAGAAACTCAAAAAGAAAAGAAATAAATACTGAAAATTTAAGTAGACATTCAAAATTTAAGAAAGAAACTGAAATTTAAAGTTGTCCACAATCGGCGATGGCGCAGTCCTTGAGTGGCTTTCCGGACTGAGATCCGTTCGATTCGACGGCCTTGACGACATCCATTCCTTCGACGACACGTCCGAAGACGACGTGCTTTCCGTCGAGCCACTCGGTCTTGACGGTGCACAGGAAGAATTGCGATCCGTTGGTGTTTGGTCCGGCGTTGGCCTGGAAATTAAGGGTGAATTAGGCGGGAAAATCGGAATTTCAGGGATTTCTATTATTCTGGAGGTGATTTTTGCGGACTCAAACGTCAATAAATAGGCCTAAATGAAAAATTACCAAAAAAAAATCCGAGAACTTCGAGGTCCGAAAATTAGTTTTTAATCAGAAATTTTTGGCAATTTTTTAAAGATTCAATTTATTCCGCATGAAAATTGGGCGGGAATTTTAAAACTTGTCCCCAAAAGTCTCTCAATCTAAGATTCTGGGGGTGGTTTTCCAGGTCGGAAACATCAAGAACGGGTCTAAAACGCCAGAAAATTGCTAAAAATCTGATGGTTTTGGGTAAAAAATGTGTTTTTGACCAGGATTTTCTGCGATTTTTCCCAATACTTTCGATTTCGACAAAAAAACTCATGATTCGTCTCAGAAGCTGAAAAATTACCGATTTTTCGCTCGGAATACTCATCTTCTGGCTTCAAAATGGCTCTTTTGAAAAAAGTATTTTTCTGAACCAATTTCACAGCTTTTGGGGTCTATTTTTCCTTTAGTTTCAACGATTTTTAGCCAGATTTCCATCGATTTTTGATTATTTTATCATCCCAAAATGCTCAACTTTCCTCGAATTTTTAGCTCAAACTCACCATAGAGAGAACTCCTGGTCCGGTGTGCTTCTCCTTGAAGTTCTCGTCTGGGAACTTCTCTCCGTAGATGGATTCTCCTCCGGTTCCGTTTCCGCGGGTGAAGTCTCCTCCTTGGATCATGAAATTTGGAATGATTCTATGGAATTTGGATCCCTTGAAATGGAGTGGCTTTCCGGACTTTCCGGTTCCCTTCTCTCCAGTGCAGAGGGCACGGAAGTTTTCAGCCGTGTTTGGGACGATGTCATTGTAGAGCTGGAAATGTAAAATTTAGAATTGGAGCCAAAAAATACGAAAAAAATTAGCTCGAAATTGAGATTTTCCAAGCTCAAATACAGCTTTTTCTTGCTCAGGTAAACGATTCTGAATTAGATCTGACTTCATTCGGAATTAGATCGAATAACTCGAAATTCTGAATTAGATCTGAGTTCATTCGGAATTAGATCTGGACTAGATCTAATACCGAAGTTGCCACGAGAAATGCGCCATCAATGACTCAGCTGCCGCGGATGAATTATTTTGTTTTTTTGTTGTCCTAAATTTTTTTCGTCAGGAAAATGGGTTTTTCTCTCAACTTTTGCTTTTTTTTCGCTCAATTATTTAAACTATATTTTCTGGAACATATTTTAATGTGTTGTGCACTTTTTGCAAAATTTTAGGTGAATTTTTTTTTAGGAACAACTGAATATTCAAAGTTCAATTTATAGAGAAGACAGTAATTCTATGAACCGACAAAATACGACGATTTTGAAGATTTTAAATTCGGAGAAACCTCTGCAGGTAAGATAATTTTTGCCCTTTTCAGCTTAAAGGATTACGTAAAAACGATGCAAGGAATCACCGAAAAAAACAAGAAAAAAATAGATGATAAATTTCTCTGATAGTGAGCTCAATTTACACAAGTCCAGAAGGTCTTACTTCCGGAAACTGCGTCTCGCCGTGAGCAGGTTAGTTTTCGAAAGTCTGGTGGACAAAGAAACATGCGTGAAATTGCAGGCTCTCAACCGAATGTGGCATGACCCGATTAAAACTATTCAAAAATTTGCTCTGATGAATTTATTTGGATTTGCAAAGATTTGAGTACGGAAATTATATTGAAATGGCTCAAGTAAGTTTATTATCGACATCACAAAGCCAAAAACTTCTTTTTTCAGTTAAATCAACATTCATGTCATAAAGAATATCCATCTTATCTACAACCGGAAACTATGACAAGAGAATTTTCAAAATCGAAAATATGCACGAGCGGAAGAATTCGAATTGAGATGTTTTTTTCATAAATTTTGTCACGTTTTCTTATCTCATAGTTCCCATTATTCTCGCTGATCTCATCGTTTTCTTTTTTGCTGATCCCATTCATTCATTTGTATTACACCCCTCATTTTCGTTCCGATTTCCTATTTCTACATTTTAATCAACCGTTTTTCTTTTTCTCATACTTGTTCTGTTTTCTTTTTTAATAAATTTTATTATAAATAAAGTGAATGGCGTTGAAAAGAAAACAAAATTTGAAAAGCGCGCGCTACGATGCTCCGAAATCCCGCTGGTCTGTTCGGAATTAGATCTAATTCGTTCGTAGTTCATTCGGTGTTCGTTCGGAATTAGATCAGCTAAATTCTGTATTAGATCATGCCACTTCTATTTACGAACGAACCCAGATCTAATTCCGAATGAAGTCAGATCTAATTCAGAATCGTTTACCTGAGTGCTTTAAAATTGCATTTCAGTTTATTTATCGTGAAAAAATCCGAAAAATTGAATCATTTTGAGCTCAAAGTAGTGAAAAAACGAGCATTTCTAGCTCAAAAACCGATTTTTTGGTGTAAAAATTGCATTTTTCAGTTTATTTTTCGTGAAAATCCGGAAAACGTGAATAATTATGAGCTCAAAAATCATATTTGTCTTCTTTCGAGCCCAAGAATAAGATTTCTAGCTTAAAAACAAGATTTTTGGCTCGGAAACCGATTTTTCCCTTTCCCTGCGTTTTCCGCCTCAAAATCCATTTTTCCTGCCTCATGTCTCTCACCTCCATGACGATACGCCCGGAGGCTTTTCCACCGATGGTGATGTCGAAGAAGACGCGTGGGCGGGTCATTTCTGTAACAATTAAAGAAATTATGAGATCTTGGAGAGAAAAAAAAGGGGGAAAATCGATTCAGAACTACGAAAATCGGGGAAATCAAAATTTCGGTTTAAAGGAGCGGAAATTCAAATTTTTGACAAACATCTGCTATTTCGATTCTAACAAGCAGCTATTTTCACTGAAAAACTGACGAAAAATTGCGAAAAAAGCTCGAAAAAGGTTATTTTTCATTTTAATCTTTTTCAACCTAAATTTCACTATTTTTCCGAGAAATATGCAACAATTCCAACTGCAAACCGCTTCTAAACGCTGAAAATTCAGTTTTCCATAACTTTTTTACAGGAAAATCCATCAAAAACCGGTTAGAGATGAGCGAAAAAAAGACGTACTTTGGCACCGCGGACCTCGTCAGCAAACGCGCTCCATTAAGAAAATGAGAGCGCCGTTCAATTTCGATTTTGCGCGAGGGGAAAGATAGGTTTCAAATCGGAAAATCAACGAAATTCGATGAAAAAAAAACAATATTCGACCATAAGAAATCAGTTAAAAATTACTTTGCCCCCAAGCAATTTATGATGATCAACGTAGTTCAGCAGGATACGAGTAAAAAGTGAAATACAATAAAAGTCGTAATGGACGAAATTAAATATAAAAATCAGGGGAAGAAAGTGAAAATCGGGGGATGGTTCTCATAGAGAATATAATTTAGAGTTGACCGCAGTCGGCGATCATGCAATCGGCCTTTGGCTTTCCGGATTCCGTTCCGAACGACTCGATCTTCTGGACAATGTCCATTCCTTGGGTGACACGGCCGAAGACGACGTGCTTTCCGTCGAGCCAGGCGGTCTTGACGGTGCAGAGGAAGAATTGGGATCCGTTGGTGTTTGGTCCGGCGTTGGCCTAGAAATTGGAATTTCAGAGATTTTGAGGGTTTTAGAGGTGGTTTTTGGGGTCAGAAAAGTCAACAACGGCAAAAATGCCAGATTTTAGTCAAAACATTGGCAAAAAGACGAGGATTTCGACCAGAATTTCACACTTTGCAGAGCTATTTTCTGGCGAAAATAAATGCCATGAGGCATAATTCAATCTGAATTTTCCTCTTTCCGTCAAACTCACCATAGAGAGAACTCCTGGTCCGGTGTGCTTCTCCTTGAAGTTCTCGTCTGGGAACTTCTCTCCGTAGATGGATTCTCCTCCGGTTCCGTTTCCGCGGGTGAAGTCTCCTCCTTGGATCATGAAGTCTGGGATGATACGGTGGAATTTGGATCCCTTGAAGTGGAGTGGCTTTCCGGACTTTCCGGTTCCCTTCTCTCCAGTGCAGAGGGCACGGAAGTTATCGGCGGTCTTTGGGACGATGTCGTTGTAGAGCTGAAAAGAGAAAATTGAGAACTTTTGAGCTCAAAAACATGGGCTTTTCACTCGAAATCTAAATCTTTTTAGCTCAAAAACCAGATTTTGGGCTTGAAAATGGCATTTTTCAGTTCGACTTCCCGCTTCTTCTGCCTCAAACTCCGGGTAAATTCGTTTGATGTTGAGCTCAAAAACGTGATTTTCTGTCGAAATCCAGGCTTTCTAGCTCGAAAACCAGTTTTTCTGGCCTTAAACTCGAATTTTCAGCTCATTTTCCCGCTTTTTCTGGGCCAAAATCCACGTTTCCAGCCTCACCTCCATGACGATACGTCCGGCAGCTTTTCCTCCAATGGAGATGTCGAAGAAGACGTTCCAGCGGCCGCTCATGTTGGTGATTGGAAATTACTGAAAAAAGATCGAAATTTTAATAAGAACGGCGAAGAGAACAATGATAAGATGCATAAGAGATAAGAGGGAAACAGCGCTCCGCAGCGACAAAGCGCGAGGTTTTCGAATTTAAAATCAGTCGGAAATCATTGAGAAGGCGGTGAAATGCATTGTGAAGCGAAACAACTTTGAAAAACGATTAATTTTAGGCCAGATAAACAACTTTTTTGAATATTTTTTCGATTTTGGCCTAAAATCCAAGGAAATTTCCAATTTTTCCGCCTAAAATCGACGCGCTAGCCACTCAAAATGCTTTCCACCGAATTCTCCGCAAAATTTCAGACCGAAATGACCAAAAAATTCCGAAAAATGACAAATTTTAGGCCCAAAAATGGCTCAAAAATAGGCCGTTTGCTTCTAGAACTTTCCGAAGTAAACAAGTCCGCAATACACCACTGCGTACTCGCACACCGAACCCTACGACACACCAGACTTGACGCGCAGTAAACAATAATAAAAATGAGGGGTTCAAGTAGACTGTTTTGGGGTTTAAATGATACAGAATTTTTGATAAAGTGATAAAGAGATGATAAAAATTAGACAGTAAAAATTACGGTGAGAATTAGAGAAAAAAAGTGGAAAAACTGGTTTTTTATTATATTAAAAGGCAGTGTAAACTAAAAATGGGGTGAGAAGAAGGGTTTTTTGTGATTGAAGTAACCGATTAGTAGTCTAAAATTGATCAAAAACCAGAAAAAAAAAATCGAAAATCCGAAGAAAAAGAGAAAGAAAAAGACAAAGAATTTATTGAAAAAAGAATCAACAAGGTAACAACAACAATAACAGTAAGGACAGAAAAAAAATTTAAAAATCAAGCCGAATTTGATTTTCTTTCGATTTCGGTAAAAGAGTAAATGAGCCTGGGTCCACGTTGCATCCAATTGTTTTCAGGTAATCCCAATTTCCTGAAGAACCTGATCTCGAAAAAATCGTCAGAATCCGGAATGGGACATCGAAAAGTATCGAAAAATATATAATCCGGATAAAATCTGGCGCCACATTTCTTCAGGAAGTTTTCAAATGTCACACCTCTTGTGACTTCCGTATCTATGCGCCAGTATTTCAGATGAGGTGATTCGAGGAGAGCCTGAAATTTTCTAATCATGATTTTTTTTTAATTTTGTGAGCCAAAAAATGGCGCGAAATTCAAATTTTCTAACCTTAAAGGTGGTGTGCGGTGAAAATTTTTATTGCTTCATTTTGTACAGAAATGCATGTAGATTGACATAAAAATAAAGAAAAAATTCAAAAAAAAATCCTTCATTGAGAAAAACGCATCGAAAAATACGCTAAAAGCCCTTAGGGACGAGCTTTTTTTCTAGGCCGCCCGGTGAGTAAAAGCGCGCGAATTCAAACTTTTGAAATTTTTCCGCTCGTTTTCACTTTTTTCGGTTTTTTCAAGAG